TCTCCATGCCACAACTTTCAAGTACCTTTCTTGCATATGCCTCCTGGCATAGCGTGACCCCTTCTGGCTTTTGCTTTACCTCGATCCCGAGGTAGTAACTCAATAGACCTAGGTCATCCATCTTGAAAAGGTCCTTCATTTGCAGCTTGAACTTTGCAATAACCTCTTCATATGCTCCAGTTATCAATAGGTCGTCGACGTAGATGCCAACTAGTAGATGATCCCTTCCTTCACCTCTCTTGTACATTGGATGCTCTAGTGGGGCTTCCTCAAATCCAAGAGAAATCAACGTATGATCAAGTTTGATGTTCCATGCCCGAGGGTCTTGCCGTAGCCCATACAAGACTTTGTGTAGCTTTAGTGCCATGTGTTTTTCTCCAATTTTGATGAATCCTTGTGGTTGGTTCACATAAAATTCTCCTTCCAACTCTCCGTTCGAAAACGTGGATTTTACATCCATGTGATTTGTCTTCCATGATTACTGAACCGCAAGAGCGATGAGTAATCTCACCGATTCCATCCTTGCAACGGAAATGAACACTTCTTCGAAATCCAGACCTTCCTCTTGCACGTACTCTTCGGCTAGTAGCCTCGTTTTGTGCTTCACTGACCCTTCGGCATCTTTCTTCATCTTGATTTCCCACTTGAGATCCAAGACTTTTTCATTGTTCGGAAGATCCACAAGCTCCCATGCATTGTAGTCGTGCATCGACCTCAACTCTTCTTCTATAGTGTCACGCCAATACTCATTCGTATTCATGTTTTTTCAATTTCTCCAGTTCCTCGGCGCTTGCTAGACACCGTCGCCCACTCATTTTTTTCAATAATTTTTTCATGTATGCAAATGACAAGCACATATAGGTGATGTTTTTCTAAACATTTTAATATCTTATTTGCATTTGTGGGAGCTAGTATGAATTTGTTATGAAGTTCCCAAAGTGATGGTCAAACAATCAAAGGGCAAAAGCATAAGAGGAGGGAAGTGGTTTGGGAAGAACCGAGGGTTTTTGGAAATTAGGGGTAAAACAACTGACTGGGACACAACTAGGGGCATAAAATTAATTATCCCAAAAAACTCAGCAAACTTGCCTTTTCTAGGAGAGAATTCCTACCCAATCTTGTTTGTTGAGTGCCAAGTTAGCTAACCATTTTCGAGACAGATTTTGTTCATTTGCCGTGTCCCGTCGGCAAAGTGCACTTCTCAGTTCTAGTTGTGGTATTTGCTCACGCCAATTTGCTATTTAGTTTGATAAAAACAAGTCAACGATCTATCAATTTTATGCTTAAACTATATGCTAATTACTCTGTATGTCCCAAAATATAAGACCGTTTTTAACACTACACTAGTGTAAAAAATATACTTATATTATGGACAGAGGGAGTAGTTAAGAAGGAAGTGAGCGAGCTTGAGTGGGTCAACCCTCGATGCCATAATCCGGACAAGGAGCTGCTGCCAAATGCGGGGGCAGTTGACTTCGAGGGACGTAAGGGACAATGGTGGACATGGAGAGTAGCTGGAGAGGTAGAGGCTTCCCACTCGTCGGGAAGGCTCTTTTGTGTGTGATATCAAAGTCTAGAAACACCACAATAATCCACTTGCCACACGCACACACCCACTATGCCATGCAATGCAACACAAAGTGGTATAAAAATACGTACCAGCACAAAATGTGAGGGAAATCCATAACTAGTGATATACCATTTAGCAGATACATCATATTGCATGCACATAATAACAAGGCAGCTTTATAAATTCCCCTTAGTGGAAAGAGTCTGATAAAAATAATGAAGAGCGACCATATCCGTCAGAACCTCTAATTTAAATTAACTAGAAATAGACAACTAATTGCAACTAGCTGGATTTAATATGCTGACGGGTAGCTGGCTGGGCTGAAGGTGGACACATGGACGATTTTGCGTGTTGTGACAGGAAACCACGCCGTCTTTCGACCCTGTGCACGGAATCACAATTTTATGGAGTCGAAGATAGGATGGAGGTCTCTCTTTGTAGTCGGGTTGACTCTTTCACACTGCTCGTATAGGAAAAAACAGCCCTTGTTTGTTTCACCCCAGTATCTCATAGCAGTTTGTTTGTAGTAGACAGCTAATAGTCAACGTGATCACAGAATAATGATTTCGATAGAAGTAAGAACTTAATTACAACGGGAAAATTCATACTCTAGCTAGTCAAGATCCATGGACAAGCTTTTGTCTAAAGCTATGTATAGCCATAGCTGACTTACTAGAATTGTTACGGGAGGAAGGAATGCCACTATCGCCTTGCTTTGCGGGACTTTATATATAGAAGCTGCATGCCTAAATCATGCAAATGCTATGTATGTAGTCATTTGTATATTACTGCACCTCACTCCAGCTGCACACATAACATGTGTGACCCAAATGGGAGGTAAAAAGGTAAGAGTTAATCAAACCCACTAATTAATATAACGAATGGCTATCAAATTTGTTTCCTGAACCAGTTATTGGCTCTAGTGTCTTGATCATCGAATAGGCATCTATGTAGTCATGGGTATAATACTACACAATAATGAGTAGGAGTTGTTTGACCCATGATGTGCCTACTCATTCATCCTTGTTTGTTATGCCTGCTATGCTTAGATTTGTGTCAGGTCTGATCCATCGGGATGGATTAGAATGGTGTGAACCTGTCCTACTGTTGAGAGCTAAGTGTGTGAACACGATTTGGGAAAGGTAGTGATGAGAGGCCATGTAGGAGTACATGCTGCGTTGTCTCATTGGGACCGTCCTTAGAAACTGAGTTCTGTATTTGTGATCCAAGACAACTACTACCACACTTTGGGATACTTAATTAAGCCTCTGGACTTATTAATCACCTTGATCTCTGTCCAGGAGATGCAACTAGTTTCTGGTGTTTGTAGGACCTGTGTTGGAGGCCGTGCGTAGCGCTGACCCTAGGGTGGGCTATGATGCGGTAGAGACACAAGGCACGATGTATCGGGATGACATCCGAACGGTGCTCTTGGGAACCCTGATCTCATCGTTTGGGTCCATGGTGGAAACCTCGATCGGACTTCCTTGCGAATGTAACTCAAATAAGCGATAAACCTGGACTAGAGTCTTGTGTGGTTAGTCAAGTCGTGGACGACACCCTCGCTGGGCTTCCGCTTGAAGGTTGCCAAGTACATATCGAGTAAAGAGCGATAAGTGGTGAGAGCGTGTGTGAAGAAGTACACCCTTGCAGATCTATTCAAATAGCCGCGTCTGCGGATATGGACTACTTGGAAAGCTTACATTGTTCATAGATAACTTGAAGTGGATCCATAGTGATGTATTGATATGGTGAATATATGGACTCGTGTGCGTTTTCTCACACCAAAGAAAATGCTGGTAGCCGTAGTACAGGACTAGATCATTGATGGCACGCGTTGTCGCGCCCATCTATTTTGACAATATAATGCTATGTATTTGTAAATATATGTGGCATTACATGATGTGACAAGCTCCTGTGATACCTCTGATTTGTTTTTATTTTGCACTTGTTGGTTAGTTCTTGAGAAAAAGCCTCATCAAATTTTGTTAGAGCTGACAAATTAGATAATCATGATAATATCAACGTTTGTGTAGCATGAAGTGGCCATGTTACAAGATTTGGATAGTGAAATAGGCTGAACTATTCCTTTATTTCTCTGCATATTCCATACAAAATTTGAGTCAACCAACATTTCGTTTGTCTTCCTATTTGCTGGTAGTAATTTAGATAATTTTTCTAGCACTGTAGAATAGGGTTCAGAGGATACGCCCTCACCCTTTGCTCCTTCGCACGTGCGAACTTTCGTCTAGGGTTTCCTTGCCTCTCACCGGCGCCGCCGGTCCGCCTCATCTCCTATGTTGAATGACTCAAATTTGATGAGGAGGCACGGTGGATCCCGGCCCTTGCCGGCGGGAGGGCTCTGTTTTTGGATGTTTTTCTGAGTTTTGTTAGGGTTTGTGCCATGCTCAAGAAAACGAGGCGGCGGCGGCTTCTTGAAGATAGAATAAGGTCCTCCCCGCCTAGCCCTTATCCCGGTGATGTTTCAAGCATCGTCGAAAGGCGTGTGGAGGTTGGTCTTCTGCGGATCCGCACCTTGTTCGTCTACGTCGGTGTATCTGCACGTGGGATCCTTCTGGTCTATGCTTCTCTTCATCGGCGGCGATTGTTGTTCTGGTGCACTGGTCCTATGGGGCCTTAGCACGACAATTTCCCAACTGTCTACTACAACAATGCTTGCCCAGCTCCGACGAGGGAGGGGTGACGACGGCGGCGCGGCTTCGGCTCGCTCCAGTGCTTGTAGTCATCGCTAGGTGTTCTACGGACCTAGATGTAATTTTTACTTCTGGTGTTCTTTGTACTACCTTGACAGTTGATGAATAAATCAGAAGTTTTCTCGCAAAAAAAAAAGAATAGGGTCCAGAAGAATAGTCATGTGCAAAACATGCATCTCTCCTGATATCATGCATTTCCGCTGTATGTATCTCATATTCCAAATAAAAGAGTAATTCAGCAACACAAACCATCTCAAGACAACAGATGGATCCGTGTATATATGTGGTTACTGTATGGGCTATAAATTTACATTTCATATATATATGAGGTGTTAGTGGCAAATGGCTAGCAGAACGTTAATATTCATTTAGCTCATCCTCAGTTATTTGAAAATGCCGCTGCAATGCATATGCATTCAGACTACCATACTTGAGTTCAGCCGCACGACTGAGATCATACTCATGGCCTGCTGGATCTCCACATTTAACCTGACAATCTGTTGCAAGTTGCAACAGTTAAATGCAGGTCAGATCAATTGGCAACAGCAACCGTACGTGTCAATCTACATAATACCTCTTCCTTAATAGATTGAATTCTTGTCATCGCTGACTTCTCACGCTCCCATTGCTCAATTATTCACTTTTGCCTTTCTTTCAGAAGTGACAGTTCTGCTTTAGTGATAATCTGTCTCTTGATGCTTTGTCTGTATCATTTATTAGTGAGAAAAGTTCCACTCAAATTTAAGCACAGAATGATCAATCACACTCCCGTTTCCCTCCTTTGAGCGTCTCATGCTCTCGTCGATCAGCCTGAACGTTTTCTTTAAAAGTTTCCGGTCCAACGCCATCATTTTATAGATCTTGAACACCCGGTCAACACGGTCGTGCTTGCTGCTCTTGAAGTAGACCTCCACAAACTTCTTCACAAACCTGTACTTGAGTAAAACACAACACATCTCTCCATACCATAAGCTAGGTAGCTCACAAATTTCTGATGTGGTAACAATGGCAGGGGTGCAAGCACTCACTCGTAGGCATGTTCCACATCCCTTTGCCAGGCGCAATCGGCTCATAGTCTTTAAACCACTCGCACATGGTCAACGGGACCTACATATACAAACGTGCAAAGTAGCTCGAGTATTACTACTATGCTCACATTAATTACTCCGCCTGAAGAAGGTATGAAAAAGGTGCTCTCATTAAATACCTTTTGTATTTTCCTCTCGAATATGTCGAATTTGTTGAGGAACAGCATGAATGATGTTTTCTGGAAAGCAACATCACATCAAGTAGGATCAGAAATCAAAATAGCTTGAGGTTAAAATGGAGAATTTGAGATGCATGGATGGATGCATGTACTATATACACAGACCTCCAAACATCTTTGCCTTAACACCCAGTCAAACAGCTCCTTGGTCTCCATCATTCTGTTCGGCGTCTTGTCCTCAAATAACAATTGATTGTACCTGACAGTAGCCTCCAAACATTAGACGAAAGGATGCACTCACTCATGTGTTCGCAGGCCCGAGCATTTGGTGTAATTTCGAAACCATACTTACTCGCTAATGGCTGCACAAGTCATAACGACGTTAACACCTTCAAAGAGATTAATCCACTTCCTCCTCTCATTTCTTTGACCCCCTACGTCGTACATCCTGTACACCTCTCCGCCTCTTTTGTCTCTCCAAGGGGGGTGCACAGAGAGACAAACCGCCCGCTTAACTTCAGTCTGTCATTCTGTATCGGATCGAGCGAGATAAATATGCAAACCTCAGGTAAGCACATTACCTAACTGAATTTCTACAACCCCATTTGTCCGTACTCTTGCATGCATTCATGGAGCACATCCTCCTGGAAAATATCTTAAAATGTTAAAAAGAGAAATACTGCAGATGTATCCTTGAGTAAGAAAAGCTGAACATCCACCGGCAATTTGGTGTTCATCATGGAACAAGCATAAGTGTTAAGGTTTTCATCTGCAGTTTGGTGTTCATCATCTTAACAACTTACTTTTGATCAACGGTTTACAGTTTAGTTTTTTTATTTGGTGCTCATCATTCTACTGATATAGTGTAATGGTCGCTCCTTCGTTAAATATTCAATTTCAAAATATTAGCTTCCAACAGTTTACAAAGAACAAGGAGTATCATCGTATGTCATATACTCATATGTGAGCATCATTAATATAGTCAAACTGAACATGTTATCATCTCATCAGATCACCTCATTCCTAATCAAACAACCACAAATACTGCCAAAAATATTAGAAGAAAAGGAGAGGGGATGGGAAAGGCTTGAGAGAGTGTCAGAGTGGTGAGACTCACATCGTTGCCATGGTGATGTGGAGCGCAGTGACGCGGCGAGCGTGGAGCGAAGGAGGGAGTGGAGGTCGGAGAGCACGCGGTCGAGGGTTCTGGAGAGCGGAGCAGTCTTTGTGGAGTCGCCATGGCCTCATGCACGGCTTGCGCACCATCGCCGGCGTCGCCGCCTCCTCGGTCACTAACGCCAAACCTAGGATGATTCCCTCGTGCATCTCGGCTGGATCCACCGAGAAGACCCGTGTGGCAACAAGAATGTCTTTTGTTTCGAACTGGTGTGGCACCCCGGCTTAGAGAGACCGGAACACACCGTATTCCAGCCCAGAGATCAAGTCTTCTGGAATACGACACTGCTTGGCATAGAACAAATCAGCTCTATATTACATAGATATGGATAGAAGGGTTCCGATATAATAAGGAATTACATCGGCACGGCGACACTACGCCTGCATATCTCACTCATACACATTTTTTAGCAAGGACTTGTGCAATCAACTTTCATATCTTGCACTAGAGTGTTCTTGAGGGTGACTCCGCCACCATATCCAAATCTATGGGAAAGAGTTGAGTGTTGGGGAGACTATCATTTGAAGCACAATAATAAGGAGCTCATCACCAACACACCATCTATTACCTTTTGGAGAGTCACATCTCCTAGATTGATTAGCTGTCGCTCGGGAGCCTTCGCCGTGATGTTGAGTTGAATCAAGAAGTTTGTAAGGGCAAAGAGATCGCCTACTTCATGTACATCTACCCGAGTGAGGCAATTCCTTCGTGGGCGATGGCCATGGTGGGATAAACAAGGTTGCTTCTTCGTGGAGCCTTCGTGGGTGGAGCCCTCTGTGGACTCGCGCAGCCGTTACCCTTCGTGGGTTGAAGTCTCCATCAACGTGAATGTATGATAGCACCACCTATCAGAACCATGCCAAAAATCCTCATGTCACCATTGCGTTTTCCTTCTTCAAACCTTTCCATTTACCTTCATATGCAATGTTTTACTTTCCGCTGCTATACTCTTAGAATTGCATGTGTAGGTAGTGAAGGATAATACAACATTCTAATACATGCTTGTTTTTGTAGATATTTTGTCCTATCATTCACCAAGAAGAAAGAATTGTGTTTTTTCTCAATAATAGTGAAAAAAACAGATCTCTGTCTTTCGTGCCATTGACTAAAAAATAGAAGTCTGAGCTTCAAACCTTCAATAGAACATTCGCGGAGCAGGTAAACAATGCCTTTTTGGCGTAAGGCTAAGCCTTGCCAGTCCCGACATCTCCAATTTGAGGTTGAATGCTGTTCTTCTCAATGCCAAGCGCCGACACAGTGCCTTTGCATCTATGCTTTGCATTCTGGATTACGATGGATATGACATGCATAGCATTTGGATGGATTAGGCTCGCATGCCATTTATTCAGGTCTATACACAATGATCGTTTGCTAGTCCTTAATCAAAATGTCATGTATGTAATAGTAGTTCTTGCTGCCATCGTTCTACAAATCATTCATATAGTCTTAACTACACACTATAGTTGCATTGTTTTGTGAAGCACTGATATACTCTGTATTTGTAAGTTACATATAGTCAGCAGTGAAATTATGTGAGATGCATTATGCTGGCATTGGACAATACTTAAGTCTCCCGTTATCATTATCTTGTTCATTGCATAATCCGATGTACTCAGCAGCTTCTATCATCGATGCATTCCACCGTTTTAGTGACTGTTTATCGGACAGTGCAATGCTAACAAAATCCTATTTATGTATTTATGTAAGTCACAATTTTTATCAGTGTTGACCCTGTACTTTATTGTATGCTTGTGCAGATCGCTACTAAGATTAAACGAGTCTCCTCCGAATCTGAAGCTCATGGCATCTCCTCTGGGTCAGAAGATGATGACAGTCCATACGAAAATCCCAACTCAGTCGTAGCGTGTAGGTGCTCCAGATGATCCACAAGGCAATCAGGCTCACACACTCTCACTCCAAAGCAAGTAATGACATCAAGAAGACGGAAGGAGATCAGCCTCACACACTCTCATGATGGTTTTTCACTGAGTCGGGCACTGAAGATTAGCCAGCCGGACAGCAAGGAGGAGGCCAGGAATTATATCAAGTCGTGGGGTGCCTCCTGAAATAAAGACAATGGGTCGTCCAGTCGATGTTTGTTATTGGCACGACCCCATGCCAATCAGAAGTTTGCAGTCAGGCTTGATGATGAAAATTGGCTTACCCAAGCGTTCACATACCAGATCATTTTGCCAAACATCTGAAATGCAAGATGCACTACACTATGAAGCTCAGGATTGGGCCAACATGCTGTTGGAAGAACAACCTGGAAATCACGACCAACAACGTCGAACACTGTCTTTATTACCTAATCAGTGATCATGGTACACATGGATCAGCATCCTGGACAAGATAAACATGGACAAAAACTATGATCATATATTGCCACGATGGTGCATTATAGATTCCCATCAAGCCAACCATAACTACATGTTCACATCTACACTGCTACGGTCAATGCACATGCAACACGAAACTTATGCACTAATGCAATAAAGTAGTCCATGTTGCAAGTATCAGTTGAAAATCTTAGAATGGACTATGCTTGTATAACTACAATACTACATAGCCTACCATGGAAATATGAGACAATCTATTCCAATATACCAATGCTTGCACAGTGTGTGTTAGCATTTTAACAATCACGAATTATTACTGTTAATAACCATAGAAGTCTTTCAATATACATCCTGTCAGGGTACAGTACTGTCAGTCTAAATCAAAGAAACTTAGCAACTTGTAACTGTAAATGGAGGTTGCTAGCGTAAGTGAAATATCTGCCAATGCGAATGGCTAGATAACTGCAAAACCTAAGGATGCAAACTAATGTATCTGCGTTCATATAAATGCACAAAGTGTACATGAAAGTACGAATTCCCCTCTTCACAGGGACTCATTCTTCGTTGAAGGCTCCTGTGAATCCAAGCAGTGCTCTTTCTCCCTATCTGTAGTAAGCTTGTAGTTCTATGGGATGGGCAGCTGTTCTCATCACCCTTTTTGCAATACCCTTCCTCGGCCTTCTTGTTTGGGACTAATAGGCGTTCCCTTCCGGCCCACTCGAGACACAACAATCCTGTTGGGTAATAAGCTATGGCAGGCATGTGTAGTGCGTGTTTGTGCACGTGCTGAGCGTGTCGGGCGCTGGTTCGGGCCGCGCCGAGCCCGTGGCGAGTGTGAGTGTGTGGCACGGGGGTGTGCGTGCGTGTGCATGTAGAGCGAGTATGTAGGGCCAAGTTGCACTAGTAGAAAAAGGGCCTAATGTTCAGCTCATTAGTCCCGGTTTGTAATTGAACCGGCACTAATGTGACCATTAATACTGGTTCCAACGGCTAGGAGGGCGGCTCTCATTAGTCCCGGTTCGTGGTGAACCTTTTGTACCGGTTCGTGCCACGAACCGGGACTAAAGAGGTGGTGGCAGGCTGGTGTCAGGCTACGACCCCACCAACACCATTAGACCCGGCTCGTGGCACGAACCAGGACTAGAGATGCACCTTTAGTCCCGGTTTGTATAACCAACCGGGACTAAAGATCATCCTATATAAACGCTTTGTTGATCCCAAGCTCTCAGTTCTCCCCCTTTCCTCTCCTCTCTGTTTTCTTCCTCTACTCTCAAGCTCATCCTCCATTTTTTCCAAAATTTGTCAAGATTTTAAGGCCCCCATCCATCCAAGTGATCACAAAGATTAGCAACTTTGTCCTCTCATCTCTCATTGCTAGATTAGCTCTTCCAATGCTCTATAAGAATAGTGATTTGTGGGTTTTAGTTTGGGAGTAATTATATGTACTAGTTTATTTGATTTATATGCAATTTGAGCTCAAATTTACTCTTAGTTTGCATATGTAGGCGTGGTTTACTTAGTGCCTCTCCGTCCTAACCACCGTCGATCGCCTTCACCGTCCCGTCGCCGGCACCACCTTGTGGTGAGCCTCTTGTTCTTATCTTTTTTATATAAAAAAACATGTTTACGTGATTTAGATATATATTTACTTGTATAATTATCTCACCCATATGTTATTTGTTATACATAGTGCCATAGTTTTGATATCCGTCCCCGTCGGCCCTCGTCCGGTTTATGATTCGGATGCAGTATATTCTCTTTTATAACTATTTGTTGCATTTCGTGCTATGCCCATCAAGTTGACATAGATATTTCCATCTAGGAGGTATGTGAACCGGAAACTCCAACCGACCCTATTGTCGAGAGGTTAACTTTAATTGAAAATGAAAACATGTATTTGAAAGAAAATTGAAAAGAATTGAGGAGGAGAAGATGGAATTGGAGTTGCATGTTTCCGATGTCGTCGATGATCACAAGATCAAGATGGAGAAAATGTGCTTGAAGATTAGAAAGATTAGAAAATATGCAATTGATAGTGAGGCTTGGTTTTCATTATGCTGTTGGATCAATTGTTACCTTAGTTGTTATCTTTATCGCATTTGTTGTCGTATTTAAATGCTTTAGCTAGAGAGTTCGTATGTTGTTTTATGAGAATAAGTGTGTATGAACTTTATGTATGAACTTGTATTAATTTGGTCTTTTCAGTGCTGTGTAATGAAGATGAGCCGACAATGGATGTACGATGACCGATGCTCTCCCCGGTTTGTTAATGGCATGCGTACTTTTCTGCTTGCGGCTGAGACAAACAAGTTAGCGGATGGTTTTATGTCTTGTCCACGTGCTAACTGTAAGAATGATCTGAATTACTCTATGTCAAAAACCATTCACTGGCACCTGTTTGAGTCCTGTTCCATGCCCCACTAGAATGTTTGGACCAAGAACGGAGAAAGAGGGGTTATGATGGAAGACAATGAAGAAGAAGAGGACGACGACAGCTATCCTGGCCATGTGTTCTCTAAATACGATAGTGGGGAAAGAAGCTGAGCCGACAATGCGGGAAGAAGCTGAAGAAGAGGCATTAGATGAGCCCGCTGATGCTTTTTGGTTACTTTTTTTGGAGGGATGGATGCTTTGGTTACCTGCATCAAGTTCCTACAGCCCGCTGTACAATTTTTTTCGTTTTCGATCGGGCTATTTAGTTCTATGCAAACACTATGTGGGCCT